CTTTCGTTTTTTTTCGTTTTTGGGCGAAAAATTAAGTTTCTCCAATCTTCTCAAAACTCTGGATTATGATAGAGGGCTGTGAGACTTTGACCTGAGTGCAAAAATGGAGGCTCTAGACCCTTCCAGAGCTGAGATATCGAAATTCAAAATTTCGACCCGAAAAAAAAACGACAGTGTTACCCCTTTCGTTTTTTTTTTTTTGGGCGAAAAATTAAGTTTCTCCAATCTTCTCAAAACTCTGGATTATGATAGAGGGCTGTGAGACTTTGACCTGAGTGCAAAAATGGAGGCTCTAGACCCTTCCAGAGCTGAGATATCGAAATTCAAAATTTCGACCCGAAAAAAAAACGACAGTGTTACCCCTTTCGTTTTTTTTCGTTTTTGGGCGAAAAATTAAGTTTCTCCAATCTTCTCAAAACTCTGGATTATGATAGAGGGCTGTGAGACTTTGACCTGAGTGCAAAAATGGAGGCTCTAGACCCTTCCAGAGCTGAGATATCGAAATTCAAAATTTCGACCCGAAAAAAAAACGACAGTGTTACCCCTTTCGTTTTTTTTCGTTTTTGGGCGAAAAATTAAGTTTCTCCAATCTTCTCAAAACTCTGGATTATGATAGAGGGCTGTGAGACTTTGACCTGAGTGCAAAAATGGAGGCTCTAGACCCTTCCAGAGCTGAGATATCGAAATTCAAAATTTCGACCCGAAAAAAAAAACGACAGTGTTACCCCTTTCGTTTTTTTTCGTTTTTGGGCGAAAAATTAAGTTTCTCCAATCTTCTCAAAACTCTGGATTATGATAGAGGGCTGTGAGACTTTGACCTGAGTGCAAAAATGGAGGCTCTAGACCCTTCCAGAGCTGAGATATCGAAATTCAAAATTTCGACCCGAAAAAAAAACGACAGTGTTACCCCTTTCGTTTTTTTTCGTTTTTGGGCGAAAAATTAAGTTTCTCCAATCTTCTCAAAACTCTGGATTATGATAGAGGGCTGTGAGACTTTGACCTGAGTGCAAAAATGGAGGCTCTAGACCCTTCCAGAGCTGAGATATCGAAATTCAAAATTTCGACCCGAAAAAAAAACGACAGTGTTACCCCTTTCGTTTTTTTCGTTTTGGGCGAAAAATTAAGTTTCTCCAATCTTCTCAAAACTCTGGATTATGATAGAGGGCTGTGAGACTTTGACCTGAGTGCAAAAATGGAGGCTCTAGACCCTTCCAGAGCTGAGATATCGAAATTCAAAATTTCGACCCGAAAAAAAAAACGACAGTGTTACCCCTTTCGTTTTTTTCGTTTTCGGGCGAAAAATTAAGTTTCTCCAATCTTCTCAAAACTCTGGATTATGATAGAGGGCTGTGAGACTTTGACCTGAGTGCAAAAATGGAGGCTCTAGACCCTTCCAGAGCTGAGATATCGAAATTCAAAATTTCGACCCGAAAAAAAAAACGACAGTGTTACCCCTTTCGTTTTTTTTCGTTTTCGGGCGAAAAATTAAGTTTCTCCAATCTTCTCAAAACTCTGGATTATGATAGAGGGCTGTGAGACTTTGACCTGAGTGCAAAAATGGAGGCTCTAGACCCTTCCAGAGCTGAGATATCGAAATTCAAAATTTCGACCCGAAAAAAAAACGACAGTGTTACCCCTTTCGTTTTTTTTTTTTCGGGCGAAAAATTAAGTTTCTCCAATCTTCTCAAAACTCTGGATTATGATAGAGGGCTGTGAGACTTTGACCTGAGTGCAAAAATGGAGGCTCTAGACCCTTCCAGAGCTGAGATATCGAAATTCAAAATTTCGACCCGAAAAAAAAACGACAGTGTTACCCCTTTCGTTTTTTTTCGTTTTCGGGCGAAAAATTAAGTTTCTCCAATCTTCTCAAAACTCTGGATTATGATAGAGGGCTGTGAGACTTTGACCTGAGTGCAAAAATGGAGGCTCTAGACCCTTCCAGAGCTGAGATATCGAAATTCAAAATTTCGACCCGAAAAAAAAAACGACAGTGTTACCCCTTTCGTTTTTTTTCGTTTTTGGGCGAAAAATTAAGTTTCTCCAATCTTCTCAAAACTCTGGATTATGATAGAGGGCTGTGAGACTTTGACCTGAGTGCAAAAATGGAGGCTCTAGACCCTTCCAGAGCTGAGATATCGAAATTCAAAATTTCGACCCGAAAAAAAAAACGACAGTGTTACCCCTTTCGTTTTTTTTCGTTTTTGGGCGAAAAATTAAGTTTCTCCAATCTTCTCAAAACTCTGGATTATGATAGAGGGCTGTGAGACTTTGACCTGAGTGCAAAAATGGAGGCTCTAGACCCTTCCAGAGCTGAGATATCGAAATTCAAAATTTCGACCCGAAAAAAAAAACGACAGTGTTACCCCTTTCGTTTTTTTTCGTTTTTGGGCGAAAAATTAAGTTTCTCCAATCTTCTCAAAACTCTGGATTATGATAGAGGGCTGTGAGACTTTGACCTGAGTGCAAAAATGGAGGCTCTAGACCCTTCCAGAGCTGAGATATCGAAATTCAAAATTTCGACCCGAAAAAAAAAACGACAGTGTTACCCCTTTCGTTTTTTTCGTTTTTGGGCGAAAAATTAAGTTTCTCCAATCTTCTCAAAACTCTGGATTATGATAGAGGGCTGTGAGACTTTGACCTGAGTGCAAAAATGGAGGCTCTAGACCCTTCCAGAGCTGAGATATCGAAATTCAAAATTTCGACCCGAAAAAAAAACGACAGTGTTACCCCTTTCGTTTTTTTTCGTTTTCGGCGAAAAATTAAGTTTCTCCAATCTTCTCAAAACTCTGGATTATGATAGAGGGCTGTGAGACTTTGACCTGAGTGCAAAAATGGAGGCTCTAGACCCTTCCAGAGCTGAGATATCGAAATTCAAAATTTCGACCCGAAAAAAAAACGACAGTGTTACCCCTTTCGTTTTTTTTTCGTTTTCGGCGAAAAATTAAGTTTCTCCAATCTTCTCAAAACTCTGGATTCTGATAGAGGGCTGTGAGACTTTGACCTGAGTGCAAAAATGGAGGCTCTAGACCCTTCCAGAGCTGAGATATCGAAATTCAAAATTTCGACCCGAAAAAAAAAACGACAGTGTTACCCCTTTCGTTTTTTTTCGTTTTCGGGCGAAAAATTAAGTTTCTCCAATCTTCTCAAAACTCTGGATTATGATAGAGGGCTGTGAGACTTTGACCTGAGTGCAAAAATGGAGGATCTAGACCCTTCCAGAGCTGAGATATCGAAATTCAAAATTTCGACCCGAAAAAAAAACGACAGTGTTACCCCTTTCGTTTTTGGGCGAAAAATTAAGTTTCTCCAATCTTCTCAAAACTCTGGATTATGATAGAGGGCTGTGAGACTTTGACCTGAGTGCAAAAATGGAGGCTCTAGACCCTTCCAGAGCTGAGATATCGAAATTCAAAATTTCGACCCGAAAAAAAACCCGACAGTGTTACCCCTTTCGTTTTTTTTCGTTTTTGGGCGAAAAATTAAGTTTCTCCAATCTTCTCAAAACTCTGGATTATGATAGAGGGCTGTGAGACTTTGACCTGAGTGCAAAAATGGAGGCTCTAGACCCTTCCAGAGCTGAGATATCAAATTCAAAATTTCGACCCGAAAAAAAAACGACAGTGGTACCCCTTACGTTGTTTTTTTTCGGGCGAAAAATTACGTTTCTCCAATTTTCTCAAAACTCTGGATTCTGATAGAGGGCCATGATACTTAAACCTGAGTGCAAAAATGGAGGCTCTAGACCCTTCCTGAGCTGAGATATTGAGATCCCATGTAGCATTTATGCCATTATAAATATCTCAATATCTCAGCTCTGGAAGGGTCTAGAGCCTCCATTTTTGCACTCAGGTCTAAGTCCCATGATCCTCTATCAGAATCCAGAGTTTCAAGAAGATCAGAGAAACTCAAAATTTCGACCCAAAAAAAAAACGACAGTGTTACCCCTGTCGTTTTTTTTTTTTTTTTGGTGCGAAAAAATAAGTTTCTCCAATCTTCTTGAAACTCTGGATTCTGATAGAGGGCCAAGAGACTTAGACCTGACCTGAGTGCAAAAATGGAGGCTCTAGACCCTTCCAGAGCTGAAATATTGAGATATTTATAATGGCATAAATGCTACAGTACGTGGGATCTCAATATCTCAGCTCTGGAAGGGTCTAGAGCCTCCATTTTTTGCTCCATTTTTGTCCATTGTGAAATGCTCCAGAAGTTAAAAAAAGGGGGCTGACGTGATTTCCATTGTAATAGACACAGGGTCTGAATGGGTTAAAACAGTTATGAACAAAACAGCATCATGCACCTGTTCATGCACAGTTTACAAAGAGCTGATCACATAGAAAAACATGAAGATGCAGTAGAATGGGTGGGGGTGGGGTGGGGGGGCACATCTCATAAACTACTTTCAACTTTACATGTCTTCTGAGCTTGTGCGAGACACAAGTGCAACGGTCAAAGTTGTCCGTCTAGCGCATATTTACATTGAAATCAATGGAAAAGGAGCGCAGAAAATGGGACGGCTTGGTTACTTTTGAGTCAACCAAGATCTTCTCCAAACTGAGCGTCTCTATTTCTGCAATGTTTTTAGTTAACCACGCAACGATTCAACTGGGATAGGCTAAGAAAAATATTAAAACGCAATGATCCGTAAATCCGGACAAAATCCGGATGCACCGTTTTTGCATTCTAATGTGGATTTTTATTTTTAACTATAGACGAATATTCAAAATTTTAATTTTGACAGCTCTTCTGCACATATATACATGCAGTAGCCAAAACAGTTTTATTTTGATTCATATATCTGAATTGACATATAGAATTTATAGTATATATAACTTATACACATATATATACACTACATATTATACATTAGCATTATAGGCATTACAAATGTCTACTTCCATATTTACGTTCATGGCGGTCATAATGTATAAAAGAGGCCCAGAGTTCAGGCTGTGCATTACTCTTCATCTTTCCTTTTCTTCGTGCTCTCATTCTGTCTGTAGGAGTGGAGGAGAAGCTGGACTATCTGAGCCAGATGAAGGTGAAGGGGCTTGTTCTGGGTCCGATACACACCGTGCGAGCAGACCAGCCGGATACACTGAATCTAACTTCAATTAAATCTGAAGTAGGCTCTGAGAATGAACTGGAATCTCTGCTGAAGCAAGCGCATAAAAGAGGTGACCTTTGACCCTGAATGACCTTTCATCCAGGAGTACCTTTTTAATTCTGACTGCCACTGAAGGTTTGCTAAGGGCTATACATTTGAATCATCCTCGATGACAACATCCACACCTTAAGATAGACATCAAAACTTTGAAGCCATTTTACGATTGGTCGTATGACAAGTTGCAAGTTCGCCCTTGACATCTGTAAAAGTGTAAAAAGATTGTTCTGACTGAGCCTAATGTTGCAATTTTGACTATTTTCAACGAATGAGGGATTTTGTAAATGCAAATTAAATTAAAAAGAACACCACAATTCAAACATTAAGCCTGTGTTAACTTTATAGATGAACTTTATATTTTCCCGCCCCTTCTTTTCCCCTGCTCTGTCTCTTTCTCACTCTCTTTCGCAGGTATCTCCATAGTGCTGAATTTAACACCCAACTATGAAAAACCCTCAGTCTGGTTCAACAATGTTACCGCTGTTGCTGAGAAAATCAAAGTAAGTGCTGATAAGACAGCGGAAATTGTGAAGGAAGTCCTATTCATGTGGACGGAGAATACGGGTAGATGAAAAGATGAGAAACTCGTATGAGAAAAATGACAAATTTAGATATTAGAACTGCAACATGTATACAAAAGTATATGATACCAACTTATTTTTAACTATTTCAATTGTTTTTGAATTTTTTAGAAAGCATGTGCATACTGGCTGACTAAAGGATTTGATGGCATTTTCCTGTCTGAATTGAAAGACATCGCAATATCTGACTACTGGCCATCTATACAAGACATATTCAACCAAACCGACAATACTAAAAAAGTGTAAGTCCGATTGGCTCACTCTCTCCTCCCCCATCACGAGTGGACACGCCCCCTACTGCCTTGGCTACAATAGTGTTTTGTTGCTCAATGGATCAGTCCAATACACTTAGTTGTTTTTTTTTTTTTTTTTTTTTTTCAATTTATACAGAATTAACAAATATTCACAAAATTGTTAGTTTAAATGTTGAACAGCGTTTCTCAGAAATAGATTACTGCACCTATTGTAATTTCTGTTGATTCATTTAATGAAATAGAGACACCTGCTGGCCAGATGGGCTAATGAGCACTGCAACCTGCTCCCTCAAATAGTTTTTCCACCTCTTTATTCTCTTTTATTTACAAGCACCAATTATTTTTCTAACCGTCACTATTTTTTTGACAGTTTCCCCTTACTCAAACCTCTCTCTCTGTCTCCTGGTCACTGTCAGAGCTCTGATGGGATCAGTCACCGGTCTCTCTGTGGAGGACGTCTCTCTCCTGTTGAACCGCTCAGGTGTTGACCTGCTCCTGACTGAACTGGCTGCTCCGGCTGGGTCCGGCGTGAGACAGGCACAGGCGATACAGAAGCTGTACTCTGGTCACCTGCAGACGAGTCTGGGCTGGAGTGTGAGTCGGTCTCTGGGATCTCCAGCGGCGCCAGTCAGGCTCTTTCACACACTGCTGTTCACACTGCCCGGCACTCCTGTGTTCAGCGCTGGAGACGAGATCGGATTCAAGGCAGGGTTGAGTGGAGCATGCAAGGGAGATGATTGAAAATGGCATAGATGGATAATTATAATGGGAAACTGAATCAGTGATTGGGCACAAATATCAGAATTGGCTCTCTTTCAATGATTGAGTTGAAATTTATCCATCCATCAATCCATCCGTCTAATCTAGCCAATATTTAAGCCCTATACAAACTTTCCAAAAAAATTCTAAAGTTGTGAAGAAATGGAAGTAGCGACCAATATTTTCTTTTATATAGTGACTTAAGAATTGAGCTAAAAAAAAAAAAAAGATTAATATTTCACAATTACTTCAATAACATGCATTTGGAAAATTTCATGCCAACTTTAAAATTCACTTTAGATTCCATAAAAATCTGAGTAGTGTTCTCAGCGAGACTGTGAATGTCTTTAATATCTCTGCTATTCTCAGGCCTTAGTCTTAGCATAGAAAGCTATGCTTAAAGTTAGCAAAGTTATTGTCATAATGCTGATGACTTAAGATTCCTCCTTTACAGGAAAACCTTCAAACAATGTGGGACTTGGAAAACCCAGTAGAAGCGACGAATGCAACAGCAAAGGTACGTTCTCATTCTTCTTTACATGGTTATTCATAACAAGTAGATGTGATCTCATCACTGAACTAATTACAAATTTAAAACCAGCACACTGTGCGTTTTGCTCTTTCCATCTTCCACTCATTCAGACTCTGCAGGAGGAGCGTATCGCAGTGCGTGGCTTCTTCAAAGCGCTCAGTGATCTGAAAAGAAAAGAGCGATCGCTTCTCCACGGAGAATATGTCAGTCTCCACAGTTCAGCCACTTCATTAGCATTTCTCCGCCTTTGGGATCAGAGCGAGCGCTTCCTGGTCGCCTTAAACTGGGGAAACGACTCAGTCACCATGACTCTGAGCGATAGTGACCTGCCGGCTCAAGCTCGGGTCTGCGCCACAACAGATACTGAGAATCTAGCCGTGGATCGCAAGGTGTTAGTAGAGAAGCTGGAGCTTGGGCCCAAACAGGCGGTTCTGTTGTCTTATCCTTATGCTGGTTAGAAACACACACACAGATCCTCATCTCGTCTCAGAACTGTTTTATATTCTCTGAGGCCGGTATATTATAAATTATAACCTTTTGTTTATGAAACCAATTACTGCAACTGGGGGAAATCATGCTTTGGTAGCCGAACGGTCATAATTACAAGTTAAAAAGTCAAAATTATTACATACTAAGTCATAATTATGGGATAAACCCCTGGCTTAAGCTTAGACCCAGACTAAAATGCATGTTTGAGCTGTTTTAACTGAAAGCCATTGTACTGATATATCTTAAAAATACAGTGGTGGAATGTAACGAAGTACAAATACTTTGTTACTTCACTTAAGTACATATTTCACGTATCTTTACTTTACTTAAGTAGAATAAATAGTGCATACTTTTTACTTTTACTTCGTTGCATTTTGCAGCAATTATTCTACTTTCTACTCCACTACATCTCTACAACTTCTGTTACATTTCCTGATCAGTTTTTCCCTGCCAAAACATAATCTGACCATCCATTCGTTGCACGTTTGTCTCACCAGTGACGTTTGGTTGCCATAGATACATCAACTAAATGCGTCTCGCACGCAGTGTGTTTATCGTGCAATTAATACGCGAAAATTTGTTTTTACGTGCATAGGAAACACACCGTGTGTAATATACGTTTGGTTAGGATTATGGCAAGCCAAGAGGTTCAGAATTACACCATAAATTAATCGCGTTTACTGCCAAACATAGTTATTAACATATAGTAAGGATAAGCATGGCTTGTATTGCCTAATTGCAAGCTTGTTTCAGAAATGGTGACAACATTTTTTTTCCATCATTATTGAACATCATTAAAAGGAGTATTAGGTTGAATGAGTTAGAATTAAATGTTTTATTAATCATTAGAAAATAGTCATTAAGAAAATCATTTGTTATGCAAGTACTTTTACTTTTAATACTTAAAGTACATTTAAAATCAGGTACTTTTTACTTAAGTATGCTTATCATTGTGTTACTTCTACTTTTACTAAAGTAAATATTTATCTGGTTATTTGTACTTTTACTTAAGTACTGAGATTCAGTACTTCCTCCACCACTGTAAAAATATATCAGTACCATTGTTTTGTCCCAAGATTCACACCAGTAATGTTTTTTCCAAGGCACATTTATAAAAGTTACTTAAATGTTAATGTAATTAAACTAAGGCCTAATCCATGCGTAATATAAGCCCTGTCTGTGAAACCAGGCCATGACTTAAAAAAAATCATGACTTACTAAGACATAATTCTGATTTATGTCATTATTATCTCATAGAAAAGTTGAAATTATGACACTAGAAATTATGACATGCTAAGTAAATTTTTTAGAGAACATTTTTTTAGAATTTTTGGCCATAATCTCGACTGTTTAATATCAATGGTTATGACTTTTTGCGTCAAAATTGCGATTTAGAATGTCATAATTTAAATTTTTCATCTCTTAATTATGACTTTTTTATCTCGTAGAATTATGATTTACCAAAGCATGGTTGTTTTTCTTATGTGGTGGAAATGGGCTTGAACACTTTTGAGTGTTAATCAGTGTGTGTCTATTAAATTTGACTTCTCTTCTCTACTAATAAAAAGTTTGTCAAGTGTACTCAAAGACATATTAAAATAAATAAATCAACTTAATTACAAATCTGATATATTTACAGTCTGTCTTTTTTGTAAATATGTGTGTGTTTTTTTGTGACTATTTTTTTTTTGTCTACGGCTTTGAATTTCTTTCCGTGTAATAACATGCACACAATACATTATTGTTGAGCGATTGTGTGTTGGCTGTGTGCCATTTGTCGTTAATTCTCAGGGCAGGAAAAGGAAGACTCTAAAGTTAACAGGTGTGTGTATGTGTGTCATGTACGGTCGTGATATGTACTATATAAAACTCTATTACTTCCTGCAGACTTTAGCTTGTAAAAAAAAAAGAAGGATAATTTCTTCCAGCATCTAAATGCTGAACGGGGTCGACGTGACACGCAGGATCATGAATCAAGCTCTTCAGTTGAGAATTAAGTAACACAATATTAACACTAATATTTTACTCAGGATTTGCACTAAAATTTGCACTTTTTTCAGTTATAACACAACAAGATTTGGTCATTTTGTATTTTACCTGATTTTGTTTAATTTTTATAACAATCTAGTGTTGATTATTGTGAGGTCATAGGTCAAATCTGAAATTTCAATGTAGTTCTCATTTACTTACCTTTATATCTGATGGTCCTATGCTGTTTTTTCTTTGGCTATAAGCCTTATGCTGCTCTTGAATTTAACGTTAATGTGTGTGTGTGTGTGTGTGAGAGAGAGAGAGAGAGAGAGAGAGAGACAGAAAGAGATTTTACAGAAGAAATCTTTGTCTAGCTCTAATTGTAAACTTTCCCTGATATAAGAGGTGTTGAAGGCTGTTCGTTTTTCATGTCCTCCCACAGACAAGAAAAACTTTGTGGTACAGAGAAGTTCAAAATTAAGCCATTGAACTACAATGGTAGAGCACAATGAATTTAGTTTTTCTTAAGTTGGAGTGAAAAACCAACTTAAAAGTCAATATATCAATATATCTTCTATCTTCTATCAATATATTTGGTCCCACTTTATATTAAGTGGCTTTAAGTACTGTGTACTTACATAGGAAAATAAGTACAATGTACTTATTGTGTTCAGGTTGTATTGTAAAACACTTTTGCTGCTATTGAGGTGTGATATGGGTAAGGTTAGGGACAGGTGTGGTGGTATGGGTAAGTATCAGGGTGGGTTAAGGTGTAAGGGAAGGGTCAACTGTGTAATTACAAATGTAATTACATCAATTAATTACAGTTGTAATTACATGCAGGTATTTTCAAAATATAAGTACAATGTAAAAACATGTATGTACACAATACCTCCAATGTATCAAAGTAGTAACTTCAATGTAAGTACATAGTACTTAAAGCCACTTAATATAAAGTGGGACCAAATATTTTCTAATGCCTGTTAATGATAATACAAAATCTACTCATCTAATATAACATTCAATTACACATTCACATTCATGTTAACTAAATCAACACACATGTTCTTAAAGGAATATAAATAGATCGTGAGAACTAAAAAGCGATTGGTAAAAACTAAAATCAGAAGGGGAAAACAGTCAGGCTAGTAGATGTTTAGATAAAGACTGAACAAAACAACACCGTTTCTACATCATTCGAATGTGTTTAAGCTACAAAACAGTGGTGGTGAAATATGTTTGACAAAATCGATTTGAGAAAGCATGTGCTTTCCGGTTATATTACATTTAAAACTATTTAAACATAACATACCCAGAAACTAATTTAAGTGCCTTTTTTATATTAGCTTGCTATATATTAAAGTAATTGCAGTTAATGTACAATATAAGGTATGAAATGCTTCTTTGCACAAACATCCCTCAACTTTATAGCTCTTAATCCTGTAATTGTGGACAAATGTGGGCACAGAGGACTGAGATGTGATCCTAATTTTTATTTATTATAAATGTTATATCACTGTCTTCAATAAAGTTTTTTCTATCCATTTATGGTGTTTGTTTTTATTTTGGGGTATTTTTTGAATTTATTTCCTTCAAAAAGAACCATATTTTCTATGTAACTTATACTTATTTTTATGTTTTATTTTTTTAACTGCATTAAAATATCATTCCAATAAGTTCTTAGAGCTAAAACCTAAAGATGAAGTGACTTTGCTGTCACCTGTTGTCTTATTTTGGCTTATTTTATTTTATTTTTCCCATTCATTTCTATGGGTGCCCATTTTTGACCCAAATACAAGATTAAGAATTAGTTTTTTTCACCCACTTAACATTGTAGAATTGTGTCAAGAAAAATTGTGTGAGTTCAGGAGGCAAACTTAGGAAAAGTAGCCAAGTCTTGTACTGCTCAGATCAAGGGAAGTATTTTTTAAAAATAAATAAAAACAATTTTGCCCACATTTGTCCAGAATACGGTTTTAGGGTTAAATTATTATTAGTTTACAAAGACGGTGGATAACAGAAGTGAAGTTTTGGGTTTGGAAATTACTTGGTACATAATCTTAAAACAGGACTAAAATAGGGCGATGGTCTTCGAACTTCGAAACTACATCTCTCAGAGTATTGTTTTAAGTATTGTAGAATAAGTTGACATGTTAGTTGTCATCAGATATTAAGCAGACACTACTAATACGCTAATGAGAGTTAGCTGATAGTGTCATCAAAATAAAGTGTACCCTAAACTGAAATATTAATAGCATTTGTTATATAAAGCAATATTTGTGAAAATAGTTTTGATACTTTAATTATGTCACAAATGACATTATAACATCAGCTGTTTGTTCATGTGAGTGTCGATATGAATGTTAGCGGGGGGACAGTGATATTTCAGACGACGGAGACAACGACGAGTTTCTGGTAAAACACGGCGTCGCACTCTTGAGATGACAGAGTGTGGTCACAAACCTGTGTGTGTTACATGTATTTGTCAGATGTGTGTGTGTGTCTGTAGATATGTGATTGTGTGTGTCTTTTCTGTGGAGACGGGGGTTTCAGTTTGACTCGGGGCAACTTTTGACGGCAGTGAATCGGGCTTTTTTGAGAGTTAGAAAATGGAGTCAAATTATCTTCTTAATCTTAAGGTATTCGCTTGATATGCCTTCATAAACAGGAAACAATTTTGCTAGGCTTAAACCACAAAACTCGTCTTCTCCTCTGATTAGGATTTTGTACAGACTTTATTATCTCTTTATCTCCTTTTCCTCCCTCCTTTCTCAATAAGAGATAGATATATAGATAGAGAGAAAGAACGACACAACGCCCCCTCTTGCCCTGTTGATGTGAAACTCCTCACCGAACAATGCTCAGTCATGCCTGACTCTCGGTTTTACTGCTACGGCCTACTCACATTCACTAGACATTAAACCCAATTATCTTGAAAGTCATCTTCATCATCTTCACAAGCATCACCAACTCCATCATCATCATCATCATCCTCAGCAAAAGTGTGACTTTCAATATCAAAAATACGTTGTTTGTCAAACTCTTCAAAATCTCTGCATGAAATAGTGATGAAACGGGGCAATTTCACACCTAATCATTAATAACGGCCTACTGAAATGTGTCACAAACACATCGAGGTAAAAAACGGCCATGTTGCCTTAAAGGAGTAGTTCACTTTTAAAAAAACTTTTGCTGATAATTTACTTACCCCCATGTCATCCAAGATGTCCATGTCATTCAGTCTTCAGTCGAAAAGAAATTAAGGTTTTTGATGAAAACATCCCAGGATTTAATGGACTTCAATGGGGACCAAACGGTTCAAGGTCCAAAAGACAGTTTCAGTGCAAACTGTTCAAAGGGCTTTAAATGATTTCATACGATGAATAAGGGTCTTATCAAGCGAAACGATCGCTCATTTAAAAAAAAAAAGTTTTAAGTTTTATATGCTGAAATGGTCGCCTTGCTCTGTTCTGTGATGCACGTTCGTGACTCTCCTCTTCAAACTCGTTTATCAAAATGAACGAATCTTTGTTTGTGTCATTTGGTTCATTTAACGAACGAAATGAACGGGTTGACTCGGGAAAAGATTCGTTCATTTTGATGAACGAGTTCGAACGCACATCACATAACACAACAAGGTGACCATTTGAGCTTATAAAACTTAAACTTTGTTATTTATTTATTAAACGAGTGATCGTTTCGCTTGATAAGACCCTTATTCATCGTCTGGAATCGTTTAAAGCCCTTTGAACAGTTTGCACTGAAACTGTCTTTTGGACTTTGAACCATTTGGTTCCCATTGAAGTCCATTATATGGAGAAAAATCCTGGAACGTTTTTATCAAAAACCATCAGTCTTTTCGACTGAAGAAAGAAAGACATGGACATCTTGGATGACATGGGGGTGAGTAAATTTCAGCAAAAGTGTTTTTAAAAGTGAACTACTCCTTTAAAATGAAAACTCATCCTTTCCTCATGTGCGTTTCAAACTGTACGACTTCTCGTGTGACACACGCACACAAAAAGACATTGTTTCTTTATACATTAAAGTCCATAGGGTTCACTGTTGTTTTGGACCCCACTAACTTTCATTGCGTGAAAAAAAAACAGTCAAAAGAAGCTTCAAAATATCTTGGTCTTATCAGAAAGAAAGTCATATAGGTTTCGAACCACGTTTGTTTTTAGTGAACTAATAAAAGTATCTTTTAGCAGGCTTCGTCCGCAAACAACTGCCGTGGTGTTGAAATGGAAAGCATTTCGGTTGCACTCGGAGAGCACTTGCCTAAGAAAGTATTGATAATATAACATAGGTTAAGGTCAGGATTATGGTACATGTACATGCAGAACAGGACTGTAAAATAAAGTGCGACCAGCATTTCTGCATCAATTCTATTATGCTTTATCGACCCAATGGACGAGACATTGGACACCACAACACAATAGGACAAACAATTTCTCCCAAACAGCATTTCGAAGCGGTGAATAACAAACAAACAAGATAGATAAGAAAGAGAGAGTGAAAGAAAGGACAGGCGCTGTGTCAAACTGAGAGCTGCCAGTCGGAGCAATACACTTTTTTCTCTCTCTCTCTCTCTCTCTCTCTCACTCGATGGCGTATGATGTTTTTTTCTCACTCGTTTCCAGGATCACAATGACAAAGGCTTGAAAAGATCAGAGGAACCAAGAGAAGACTGCCGTACCGACAAGTTAACCATCACCAACGCCTCCGCAGAGTCTCTCAGTGTCTGTCTTACCTTAACAGTACATCCCTCCTTCATTCACTCGTGCCTTCAGACGTGCGTGTAGCTGTCCTGCGGGCCTCGACTTCAGAGAGGTAAGTGACATCTTACTCTGTTTATGAACAAGCCAACAGAGAGCAAAGTGAGTCCGCCAGTGCTAAGACTGACTGGTAGGCATGCGAGAAGTGTTTTTACAAGTACGTTTAAGACACAGGCCACGGCTGCGCGGACACTCGATGTTGAATGTAAAGCGACGCACGCGTATTTCACTTGTTCTTAAAAGGGATAAGCTTGAGCTTTGCACCCAACATGGATGAGGCCTAGTTTAGGAAAACAGCTATGGACTGAATGTGGTTTCTTTTTGACCGTAATGCACCTCTATTTGCATTTATTCTATTTGCACCCTCTCTAGGTCATGAGATGCATCATTTGGTAACACTTAACAGCATTTTTAACGCTCCATGAGCATATTACAGTGGCTTCTGCAACATTCGGTGTCTTACGAATGACAAAATAGTTACGCGGTTTTGTTGATGATCTGTGAATTCAGTTTGAAAAGCTCTTTTTGTGCTCTTTAGCTAACAAACACTATATAGTAAAACGACGCTTTCTATTCTGTACGTCATATTCAGTCAATCAAACAGCTTTGAGGTTAATTCCTGTTTTCGCTCACCTTTTATGTGCAATTGAATTATGGGACTGATATTCCTGAACAACTGAGATTGCGCAAGGTTCTTCCTTTTAACACAGACAGCAAACCTAGTTGTTGATGGTGGACAATGCAAATTGTTCATAACTCACTTAATAATGTGTAATTCATTGTGTGATTCTTCTGTCGTTTGCATACTTTTTCATACTAGCAAAACGGGGTCTAATAAGCGCTATTTTTGCTATTACTGCAAAGTAAAATGCCCTTCGTGGACAAGCAATTCCACATCGTCATTTATGAAATTAAGTACTTATTTTACAGTACGTATACTTACAGTGCACTTAAGGGAACTACATGAGTTGATGTCAGGTTTAGGGGGAGGTTCAGGGTTGTAATTGCTATAATTAGTATATGTTATGTACAGGACTGTGAAATAAAGCGCTCCTGAAATTAAACTCACTTGTCGTATGACGGATAATGTCCCGCAAGCGCCTCCATGACTCTGCTGCTGTCGACGGCTCATCCAAGCGATGCTGATTCCTGAATTAGAAATCATTATTCACACAGTAAAAAATATATTTACAAAATGATTAGGCTTAATGGGAATCCTGCTACTAATAGAATAGCTTCTGGTTTGTTTCATCATTTCAGTGATGTCTAAGCACGAGTTGTTGTCATCCAGCGAGGGCATATTTCCTGTGGACTGATCACTGCGGCCAAATTTAGCTTTTAAAATTAGCAGCAAAAGTGCTGATTAAACAGCAGAGTTGCGTCTTTGTTTATCAGCTGTTGAATGGGTTTTTGTGAGGTGTGAAGTGATTTTAAAACTCATTATTTTTGTAAAGGTCAAAGTAAATATGACGATGGTCATCCACGACAAATTAGCGATGCTTTTTAAAATAATCGGATTCAAAAAAAAGAAAAGAAAATGTAGAGTTGGCTTGATGTACTCTGATTGATCCGTTAAGTAAAGCACGTTCGGATATCAGATGTAAATATATATATTTTTTAAAAATTAGTCTAATAATCTATACTGATTATAAGTAGCTTTATATAAAACGACAGTCTTCATTTAGATGTAGTATGTAAGCTCTGGGAGTCCTTAGAAACATCACTTAACACTTCATGCGTGTCAGTTATTTGATTATGGATATGTCGTACTATTTGACTGTGAAAGGCAAGATATTTAATCTAGATAGCGCCTGTTTAATATAAACAAACATTATTTTTTTTATTTCTTTTACATATTGTAGACAAATACTGGTTCAAGGTTTTACTGGATGGATTGCATTAGAGGCCTGTCACTATTTGCATTCATGATTATCATTTTGCACTATATATTTTTAGATTAAACCCAGTTAGACACAAATTCGCTACTTTTTGTCTTCTGCACAGATAAGAAAGAAACATACACAAAAATTTCAAACAAACACAATAATTAATGATATTGGTGATAAATGTGTAAGTGAGACTGCAATGGCTCGTGATTTTTTTTCCTCTTTATTGTCATTTTTTATATTATTCTCTTGAGCAGAACCAAAATATATTAATGTAATCATAAAAGCGTACATTCACACTGTCGCTTATCTTTATTTATATGGGACTTTTTTAATGCCACTTATCCAATATACATTTTCATTTACAATTAGTTTATTTTTGCATGGGAAACGTGTGCGTTTGAGACAAGAATCGCCTTATAGAAATAATTTGCGGGTCGATTTGATAATGTGTAACATTAAACACTAAACCATGAAAATGTAATATTGACAAAAAATATATTTTCATACAAATATAAACATATGATAAATCTAAATTGCAGACTTTGCCTTTCAGCGAACTTCGAGTCTTTGGGTTCACTAACCGATAAGTTGTGCTAATAATTTGATTAATTTCAAGTTTACAATTACAATTACATTTTAGCATTACGAATTATTGAACAATTACGTTCAATTATAAAATGGCACCATCAAATTCAATACAATTAAAAAAACGACAATAAAAAAGGTCACCGGCTCAGAGCTGGGGCGGCCAGACAGAAGTATCAGAATCTGAATTGTACATTGATATTGATTTATATTTAGCAGACACTTTTGAAAAAACTCACAGCACAAGCAATTCGTCTCATATCAGCCAACAATACCAAAGTATATATCCACAAAAGTTAAAGATCACGCAGTTTTCATGTACTGTAGTGATGTATTGTTCTCATGGCCACATGTGGTCTATTGTAATTAGCCCTGAAATTCAGTGATAAGTTGCCGTTGTTAAATGTGCTAAAAGTATTTTACAGAGCTAATACATGACTTTGATTCAGACCGGACTAGACTAATGATGGAGACGAGTCTAAAGGTTTGAGGGACGTAATTTGCACTTAAATTTATTTGCATAACCTAAAGTGCAGGAAACATTCAACGGGAGTTATCCTCTCATTCCTTTCTCACTTCTTTCATTTGTTCGACGCATTCATCTCTCATAAAGATTGTCTCATAGATAAGATAAACGGTTCAATAGAATGATAGAGAAAGAGAGGAAAAAAAGTCCAAACCGCTCTGCTGCTTTCCCCCTCCTCTGTTCACTCTTTCACACATCTGACAGAAAACTAGAAAACAGCCTCCACACTCCTGTTTCCTTTAATTATATCCTATGTTGTTTCAGTCCCCCTTAACCCGCGCGCCCCATTCTCCAGTATTATCTGAGGACATGTGAGGGATGAAACACGGCATTTTAAGCATGCAAATTAGTCCCAAATTCTATACACTCTCCGTACTTGTATATTAAAAACGTCTAGAAAGCCAGAAAAAGGATGAGAAGTAGGGCAGCGAGAGTAAAAAAATCTACATTTCTCTGGTTCAGGATCCGTAGCTGCTCACTGTGTGTTGTCTTACACCTTTATTGTTTCACCCACATTATGCTAATGGTGAGGTTTGTGTAGGTGACTTGTGCAGGTACATTCATACTGTACTCACCACTGAATTAACATCACCCTCATCAGCCAAAACTGCCAAACCTACAACCTGTGCGGGGGCCGTCCAGATTTACGTTCTCTCAAAGTGTAATGGCTCACGGAGACGGAGTGGGAGGAGCTCTGGTGCTGACCTGTCAATCAAAATAAAAATGCTGTGGTTACGTTGCAGTGCTATTATGCAGTTAAAGGAGTAGTTCACTTTAAAAAAATAACTTTTGCTGATAATTTACTCACTCCCATGTCATCCAAGATGTCCATGTCATTCTTTATTCAGTCAAAAAGAAATTAAGATTTTTGATGAAAACATTCCAGGATTTTATCTATATAATGGACTTCAATGGGAACCAAACGGTTCAAGGTCCAAATGAGAGTTTCAATGCAGCTTCAAAGGGCTTTAAATGATTCCAGACAATGAATATGGGTCTTATCAAGGACCCTTCGAGTCATGACTCGAAAAAAGATTTGTTCATTTTGAACAAAGGAGAGTCATGATCGCGCATCACAGAACAGAGCAAGGTGACATTTGTGCTTATAAAACTTAAACTTTTTTTATTTATTTTTTAAATGAGGAATCGTTTCGCTAGATAAAACCCTTATTCATCGTCTGGCATCGTTTAAAACCCTTTGAAGCTGCAATGAAACTCTCATTTAGAGCTTGAACCGTTTGGTCCCCATTGAAGTCCATTATATGGAGAAAATCCTGGAATGTTTTCATCAAAAACCTTAATTTCTTTTCGACTGAAGAAAGAAAGACATGGACATCTTGGATGACAAGGGGGTGAGTAAATTATCAGCAAAAGTTTTATTTAAAAGTGAACTACTCCTTTAAGATAGTGTGATGAGAGAGAGAGCGAGAGAAAAAAAGAGAGGGAAACACTATGTGTGGGTGGAAAAAGGGGTGCGGAGACAATGTATGCGGTATGGAAACAATTTTATATTGTGGGTATAACAGGGATACACTTGCAGAAAGAGAGCGAGCGAGTGAGCGGAGGCGGGGTGTACGGAGGTTTCCCTTGTCCACTTCCTGTTCTGTCGCTGTTTCATGGTCAACTTCCCGTCACATGATTTTGAGCAACCACAGATTCTCACTGGCGTAAACACAGTACGTCTTCGCCCACACAAACACATGCACAGAGAAACAAACGCACTTATGCATGCACAATAAAGTTAAACACTTAACACACAACAACACAAGTTCAAACATACAATTACCAAAAAAGAAAAACACACACAAACATGTTTTTACTCTGACCGACACACACACTCTCGACAGGAAGCGTTGCCTCTCACTCATATCGTATACACTTACATGAACACCCACGCCTTACCTGCCAGTTAAACAACTCTTACGTTCTTTACACTGAAGTCACAAACCACAACAGATGCGAATCTCAAGATAACACACTGAGCCGCAAGCACAATAAGCCCAAAAGGTCTCATAACCTGCCAACATCAGTGCAGACAGCACGCTTTCATCCTCAAGCTTTTGTCAATTGTTTAAAGAAAAAGTTCATTTTTGCTGGATTCCACTTTTTGTTTGCGCCACTGTCTACCATGAACGACACCCTCATCGGACCGAGAGGGAGACTGTGAGTATACCACAGATTGCTTTAGTCTGTAGGAGAACAGATAAAAATAGACTGAGAAGGAAAGGAGGTTAAGGAGGAGAGCAAGACAGAAGAGGGAGAGAGATATAGAAAGAGAGAGAGAGATAGAGGGAGATCCGTGACTGCTTCCTCAGGATGTGGCTTTCGGTTCAGGGTTTTAAGGGAGGGGGTGACTCTATGACAACCGAAGGCTTACCTTTTGATCGGTGGCACCTGTCAAAGAAATATGTGTGAGAAAGTGTTTTCACGTTTAAGTATGATGCGTTTGCTCACGAGCCAGAAAGAGGCTGCTGTCACACGAGGCTGCGTTTTAATTTCGTTTGCTTGTTCACACGTTCACGGGTCGATGTGAATAGATAGCGCACAAACAAAAGCAACAGGTTATGGATAAAGAGAGAAGAACATTGGTGAGTAAGCACTAGCTAAAAAAAGAGAGATGAGAGAAAAGGTCAAAAAAGAGCTAAACATAGAACAAACAAAGGCCGTTTGTGGTCTTTTGATTGTCGCGTTTATCTGTGTCTCTGACGTTGTTTTTCTTTGCAGCTAAAAAGCAGTTGTTACAGAGGGAGATGCAAAGAAAACATTAATCGGTTGTTGGGCTGTGCAAAGATTAATTGCGATTAATCGCTTCCAAAATAAAAGTTTGTGTTTACATAATATATATGTGTTTGTGTGTGTGTGTGCTGTGTATAACTATTTTGCTATATAAATACACACACATGCATGTATATGTTTAAGAAAATCTGTTATTCATATATAAAATATTTATATATAATATAGATTATGTATTTATATATATATATATAGAGAGAGAGTATTTCCATGCAAGTAATTCTTAAATATATACATGCATAAATATGTATCTATATATACAAAATAATTCAATGCATGCATGTGTATTTATATGTACTATTTCAATGCATGCATATGTATTTATATAATAATTCAATGCATGCATATGTATTTATGTAATAATTCAATGCATGCATATTTCTTATATATAGAAAGTAATTCAATGCATGCATATGTATCTATATATACAAAATAATTCAATGCATGCATGTATCTATATATACAAAATAATTCAGTGCATGCATATGTATTTATATATACAAAATAATTCAATGCAAGCATATGTATCTATATATACAAAATAATTCAATGCATGCATATGTATTTATATATACAAAATAATTCAATGCATGCATATATATATATATATATATATATATATATATATATACACACACAAAATAATTAAATGCATGCATTTGTATATATATATATATATATACAAACTAATTCAACATATATTATGTAAACACAAACTTTTATTTTGGATGTGATTAATCGTTGCACAGGCCTAATCGGTTGTTTGTGTGTTTTGTCTCGCTAACGTTCATAAGGGTTTCGATGACTACTCATGATCTTTGTGTGTCTTTTCAGTTTTCAGATGCAATGAGCGTCTTCTAACTCAAGAGTGCTTCAGCCATTTACAACACGTCACATGGCTGACCACACGTCTCCCGAACCTGAGTCACTCTCCTTCGCTCCCATGTTTCGACCTCAGACAGAAGGTCAAAGGTCAAGCCACGACCTTTACCAGCAAAGCTCAATGAGTGGGCTCGGCCCGTTTGAAGTCCCGTGTGAAGCACCGGACGGCACCGGCTCCGCTCTGAACGGAATAGATCAATCGGGGAGCCCTGCTTATTGGGGAAGCATGTCCCCAGTGTCCTCTATGGGACTCAACAGAATCAAGGCACAAGCTGGAGTGTATGAGACCGACTGGAGTTCTCATTGCCACCAACAGGAGGCGGTGGACTGTTACGAAACAACTGGGCGCCAGCAACAAAAACTGGATTCTTTCTCCGAAGCATTTTGCAGTCGTAACATGCCGCGAATGCAGGGTGGAGGAGAGCAGAGCGGCTTCAACAACTCGACTCCTCCTTCCCATTCCCTCTCTTTCCCTTTGGTTCTCAGCCCACCTCCGACGCCCCTGCCTCCTCAGTCCTTCTCTCCTCCCAAACGACCTCAACACTTCCTACCCGGACAGATCTTGAGCCAATCGCAGACGGATGGGTCGCTGCAGTTCTTCCCTTCTCTCCCCTCGCCGTCCAGCAGCAGGTACAATCACCCCATTTGGCTCCAGCTGCAAGCTGACGGCAACGAAAGTTTGGAGTTAACGCAGCACCTCCAACAAGATTCAAACTCCTCCCTAGTTTATTCGGAGCATGGAAGCCCTCATCTGAAACAAATGAACTCCCAGCAGAAAGGTAGGGGTGATGTAAACGCAACGTTGTTGTGTGTTTGATCTATTTTAAAATGCATAATGAAACGTTGTTTTGCTTGCACAGACTGTTCAATGCAAATGTCCCTCAACCCTGCACTGGCTCAACATCATCATCCTCAGTCGTGCGTACAGCAACATCTAGGTCACGAGCCCGGGACATCTGAAGATCACATGACATGGCCTCAGGTCTGTCATCTGCACCTTCACACAGATTGTTACCCTGGTCAAGCATTTTTGATCAATGGCTTTCACATCATTCTCGTCACTAGTTTTGCTAGCATGCAACGTTCACTTTACTTTTCTCATCTTGACAGATGGGGCAATCATCCCATTCATATGGGCCTTCTCTGCACCAGTCCAGTCTCCATGTGCAGGGCTCAGAGCCAGGAGAAGGATCACGATTAAGTTTTGGACAGAACTTCAGTCCTGGGTCCTCAGACAAACTTCAGGGGTCCTCCAGCACACAGGCATGAGACCAACTATTTACTAATTCATTTAGTTATGGCCTATAAGTATATATACTACAGTAGCGGTCAAAAGTTTGGAAACATTACTATTTTTAACGTTTTTGAAAGAAGTCTCCATCAAGCCATCAAAAAAAACTGAAACTGTAATATTGTGAAATATTATTACAATTTAAAATAATCATTTTTGTATTTTAATATACTTTAAGATATAATTTATTTCTGTGATGTAAAGCTGAATTTCGGCATCATACTCCGGTATTCAGTGTCAAATGATCCTTCAGAAATCATTCAAAAATGCTGATTTGATACTCAGTTTATGTATTATTATATTAATGTTGAGAAAAAAAGTTGAAAAGAGCACCATTTAATCCAAATAGAAGTCTTTACTATCACTATAACACATCCATGCTAAAGAAAAGCATTCATTTCTTTAAAAAAAAAAAAATAAAATAATAATTACCGATCTCAAAGTTTTGAATGGTAGGTTATAATGTTACAAAAGATTTCTATTTTAAATAAATTCTCCCTTTTTTTTTTACTTTTTATTCATCAAAGAATCTATAAATATATAAAATAAAATATAAAAAGATATTAAGTAGCACAACTGTTTGATAATTAATCAGAATATTAGAGCGTTTTTTAGAAGACTGGAGTGATCACAGGAAAAAAATTACATTTTAAAATGTATTAAAAACATGTATTAAAATAATATAGATTGTAATAATACATATTCTGTAATAATATTTCATAATATTACTGATTTTTGATCAACGACAAGCAGTTGGCAGGCATGAGAGACTTCTATCAAAACCATTCTGATCCCCAACCTTTTGAATGGTAGTGTATATACAATAAAAACATAAAATATATAAAATATAAAAACCTTCACATATTGTTTGAACGTACAGTTACGAGTGCTAGGTTAAAACCACAAGCCTTTGACTGTTATAAGCTGTGATTGGCTCTACGGCGACATTTTACGTTGCATAACTCACATGCAACTTTTGTCCATGTAGAATGTTCCCAGTTCCGGATACACTGGAGTCCCATTCAACAGTGTGATACAGCTGAGTAGAGACTTTATGGAGACCTGGGAAGGAACGGCATCTCACTTTACACCACCTCCGATGCTGAACCCGACACGTAGTGGAACGGGGCTCTTCTGCAACCTGCTTTCTTCCCTTGCTGTGGAAAACAGAGCGCTGTGGACAGACGAGAGGAAAGAGGATGACTCACAAAGGTGAGCATTCAGATGTTTGTTTGTTTCTTCTCAGTCGCTCGTCGATGTCATGAGAATGATTTTCCCCTCAAGCAAATGCCATTTTATTAAGAGCATGCCTGAACCACAGAAAAACATGACTGCTTTAGGGCTGTGAAACGATTAATCGCGATTAATCGCATCCAAAATAAAAGTTTGTGTTTACATAATACATTTGTGTAGTGTGTATAATTATTTTGTACATATATACACACATATGCATGTATATATTTAAGAAAAATGTGTTAATATATCAAATATTTTTATTTATTATAATATAAATTTTGTAGAAATATATATAAAGTATGAAAATGCAAATATTTCTTAAATATATACATGCATGTGTTTGTATTTATATATACAAAATAATTATGCACACACATATATTATGTATTATGTGACAACAATAATAATTTTAAAATTGGTGTCAAGTTTTTGATGTCTTGATTTGGTCTCGTTTTAATTGGTGGTGGTTGAAGAGATTCCCCCTTCCATATGTAAAGCGATTTGAGTACCTAGAAAAGTGCTATATAAATATAAAAAAGTCATTCAACTTTCTATCACATTCAAGGTGCATAAATATAGGCCCTGATTTCCAAGCTGAGCTGCCAGATCTGATAGTAGGAAGAGAGCATGATGAACGTCCAGAGGAAGCGGTCAGGGAGGAGCTGTTGTGGAAACCTTGGGCAGAGCTAGAAGAAAATGACACCCTTTTACAGCACGGTAATAAAACAAAATATTCAAATGATCATAAAGCAAGTGGTTTTTTGAAACATTATTCATGAGTGTGATTTCAAACCTCAGTTGAGAGTCTTCTTGACCTGAGTGCCTCCAGTGTTCTACCAGGAGGTGGCGCCAACCTGGAGCTTGCCCTTCATAGCCTGTCTCGTTGCAAGGGAAACATAATAGTAAGTGCAATATTCATTATGAACTCATGTTTATAGATTCACAAGACTCTATTCACGATTACCTCTCCAAAATGGTCATGACTACTTGATGACAAGCTGTCTTCCACAAATTAACTCAGCGTGGTATTTAATTTCCTTCTTTTCCCTCTCTACCAATCCTATCCAACAGGCAGCGCTGGAGATGCTGTTGTTTAAAGACTCCCCTCCATCAGGAAGCTATCACTATTCTGGTAAATTCACACTTTTTAAAGGTAGGGTAGGCAATTTCTGAGAATTTTGAAAGCCTGAGATCCCAACCTCCCTTCAAAGCGTCTTCAAAGCCACGCCTCCCTTCAAAACACATGAACGCACACAGAAGAGTCTAGAAAGCGTCACAAGAGATATGGCGTTAAATTACCTCGTCTCAAATCACAAAACATTACAATAATAATGAACGTATACAACTTGCAGAGTTCTTACTTGTACCACCTGACTCATTTCGTCGTTAATAGTGTTGACAAAGAAACGCACAAAGGCTGCATTCCCAGATAGCAAACTGACATTGAATCAACGTGGAAACATGACATCGAAACAACGTTGATCTGACATTGTTTTGCTCATCGAATTAACGTTGAACCAACGTCAGACGCGTCATTCTTTCAAAACTAACGGAAAATCAACTTGAAATCAACGTTGTTTCAACGTTATGAAAGCAAACCAATTTTCGATTTTCATTTAGCTTTGAAGAATGGTCTGACGTTGGTTCAACGTTAATTCGATGAGCAAAACAATGCCAGATCAATGTTGTTTCAATGTCAGTTTGCTGTCTGGGTTTACACTGCAGGTCTTGAATTGATGCCCAAATCCGAAATTTTTTTTGATTTTTTTGACAACCTTCTTACATCATCTTTTAAAAGTGACCCGTCTCCGATTTTAGCATTTACACGATACACTGCTGAAACTAACAAATGTAGACGTTCTGACTGGAAAAGGAAGTAAAACAGCACGAAATGCAATGGATGCAGATGAGAATAAAATTACCCAGTGTTTTGCTTTCCACAATATTTTGAGAAATCAGCAAACAAAGATGAGAGCACATATCCCCATATCTCGTGTCTTCAAACACGGATTTATTTCTGTAACAACCCTGCGTTTTTGCCCTCACCGTCTCTTCGCCCCAAACACTCAAAAGAGATGAAACCTTCGCATTGCTCCATTGTGTGTATCCTTCATCCTCCATCGCGCCTATAAGTCATGTGATCTCAGTTGGTGATGTCTTGAGTTGACATCACTTTTTTAATGACGTACGACTCGCATTTACTGGGGAATATCCGATTTGTCTGCTTACATGGCACACGCGAATGCACGTATTCGATTCATATCCGGTTTATTACTACGTATGAGTGAGGCCTGAATCCGATCTGAGAAAATTGGAATCCATGCGTTTTTTTCCTGCTTAAACGTTCACCGGTCATATCCTATGGAACCCTGTTTCCGCCACAGAATGTAAAATAAGGTAATTGTGACTTTTTATCTCGCAATTTTGACTTTCGTTCTCACACTTGCGAGTTTACTTACATCTTGCAATTCTGACTTTATTTCTCAGAATTGTGATGTAAAGGATTGCGTGATTTAAATTCGCAATTGCGTGTTATAAAATCAGAATTGCGAGATATAAAGTCAAAATTGCGAGATATAAAGTCGCAATTGCGTGTTATAAAGTCAAAATTGCGAGATATAAAGTCAGAATTGCAAGATAGAAAGTCGCAATTGCATGTTATAAAGTCAGAAATGCGAGATATAAAGTCGAAATTGCGAGATATAAAGTCAGAATTGCGAGATATAAATTCAAAATTGCGAGATATAAAGTCGCAATTGCGTGTTATAAAGTCAGAAATGCGAGATATAAAGTCAGAATTGCAAGATAGAAAGTCGCAATTGCATGTTATAAAGTCAGAAATGCAAGATATAAAGTCGAAATTGCGAGATATAAAGTCGCAATTGCGTGTTATAAAGTCAGAATTGCGAGATATAAAGTCGAAATTGCGAGATATAAATTCGCAATTGCGTGTTATAAAGTCAGAATTGCGAGATATAAAGTCAAAATTGCGAGATATAGTCGCAATTGCGTGTTATAAAGTCAAAATTGCGAGATATAAAGTCGAAATTGCAAGATATAAAGTCAGAATTGCAAGATAGAAAGTCGCAATTGCGTGTTATAAAATCAGAATTGCGAGATATAAAGTCAAAATTGCGAGATATAAAGTCGCAATTGCGTGTTATAAAGTCAGAATTGCGAGATATAAAGTCAAAATTGCGAGATATAAAGTCGCAATTGCGTTTATAAAGTCAGAATTGCGAGATATAAAGTCGAAATTGCGAGATATAAAGTCGCAATTGCGTGTTATAAAGTCAGAATTGCGAGATATAAAGTCAAAATTGCAAGATATAAAGTCGCAATTGCGTGTTATAAAGTCAGAAATGCGAGATATAAAGTCAGAAATGCAAGATATAAAGTCGCAATTGCGTGTTATAAAGTCAGAATTGCGAGATATAAAGTCAAAATTGCGAGATATAAAGTCGGCAATTGCGTGTTATAAAGTCGAATTGCAAGATATATAAGTCAGAATTGCAAGATAGAAAGTCGCAATTGCGTGTTAATAAAGTCAAAATGCGGATTATAAAGTCGAAATTGCAGATATAAAGTCAGAATTGCAGCAGATAGAAAGTCGCAATTGCGTGTTATAAAATCAAGAATTGCGAGATATAAAGTCAAAATTGCGAGATATAAAGTCGCAATTGCGTGTTATAAAGTCAGAATTGCGATATAAAGTCAAAATTGCGAGATATAAAGTCGCAATTGCGTGTTATAAAGTCAGAAATGCGAGATATAAAGTCAGAAATGCAAGATATAAAGTCGCAATTGCGTGTTATAAAGTCAGAATTGCGAGATATAAAGTCAAAATTGCGAGATATAAAGTCGCATTTGCGTGTTATAAAGTCGAAATTGCAAGATATAAAGTCAGAATTGCAAGATAGAAAGTCGCAATTGCATGTTATAAAGTCAGAAATGCGAGATATAAAGTCAGAATTGCGAGATATAAATTCAAAATTGCGAGATATAAAGTCACAATTGCGTGTTATATAGTCAAAAATTGCGAGATTATAAAGTCAGATTTGCAAGATATAAAGTCGCAATTGGCGTGTTATAAAGTAGAATTGCCGAGATATAAAGTCAAAATTGCGAGATAATAAAGTCGCAATTGCGTGTTATAAAGTCGAAATTGCAAGATATAAAGTCAGAATTGCAAGATAGAAAGTCGCAATTGCGTGTTAT